AACAAAGTTAACATTATTTTTATAAGCTAGAAAAATATCAGCAGCAGGAGTCCTGGCCAGAACCACCCCCACGAAGTGCAAACAAAGCTACTCCTATCTTCTGGCTGTCTGCTGGAGAACTTACTAACCAGCACCTTAAGAACAAAATGTTCTTTTATCATCGATTTTTATTCCCACAAAGTCCTTCCTCCTCTTTTTCCAGAACTGGAAAAACCATGGGTTGAGTTTTGCTTGCTTCTTTGATCTTATTCTCCCTTCCCAGGCCTCCCATGGGAGTGAAAGTCTGGGGGTATGTCTCCAAAGCAGAGTGCTGACCCCTCATACTAATCAGAATGTGGGTCTAAAGCAGGCCATGCCGGGTCAGCATTTGAAGTGAATACAGTTGTCAAGGTTTGTTGGTGAGAGGCCAGCATGGCATACAATTACGAATCCAAAGTTGGGTCTGTACTTGACATTCAGAAATCTCTTCGTACAGAGTTCATTTAGCCAGTTCTTGAGGCCATTTCTGACCTCAACCTATACAGAATCACAAAGTAGTGAATCCAGCATCCTGTTGTCTCTAACTCTCTCTCACTGCATAAGAGGAAACAAAAGTTCTGAGAAGCACTATATTTGTAGGCAGAAACACAATTTAAATCCAGAACTTGAGATTCCACGTTGAATGCCCTTATCATAGCATCACAAAATGTTTCAGGGATTAGCTGTCCCAAATCTAATCTGTTAAGCTACAAACATGCAGGTAGGGGAGAACAATGAAAATTTTCCCTCCAAAACGAGTGGACTTTGCCTGATTTGTTCACTGCTGATAATTCCCAGTGCCTAGATCAATAACTGACAGGTTACATTCACTCAATATATGTCTTTAGTTAATATATAGTTGGACCTATGGCAACCCTTTCAAGATTTTCAGGCCTCTTTTCTCCTCCACATCCTAATCGGGGTATAGGAAGGGGAGAAGTGAGAAGAAACATTTGCTCCCAGGCCTCCTATCCTTTTTAAGATATCCTAGTCTTAGACTGGCTGCAAGGTAAAGGAAGAGTAAAAGAAGAAGCATAAGAAGGCATAATAAGGATAAAACATGGTCAACGTTTATTAGGTAAGTCTGTACTATCCCATCATAGTGGAGTATCACCTTCCTGTGCCCTTCCCAGACACTGCTGGCATCTAAGTTCAGGCCTTAAAGAATCCAAGGTTCTTATTTTATCTTTCCATTAAAAAAAAAAACAAAACTATCTTTCCATTAAAAAAATATGGGGGAAACTTACTAACTTTTTGTTTTAGTCCATTTTTATGTTGCTATAAAGACATACCAAGACTGGAGAAGACAAGGAGGTTTAATTTGACTAACAGTTCCACATAGCTGAGAGGTCTCATAATCATGGTAGAGGGCAAAAGGCAGGTCTTACATGGTGGGAACAGGAGAGAATGAGGAAGAAGCAAAAGCAGAAATCCATGATAAACTCATCAGATCTCATGAGACTTAGTATCATAACATCATAGGAAAGACCAGCCCCCATGATTCAATTACCTCCCCCTAGGTCCCTCCCACAGCATGTGGGAATTCTAGGAGATACAATTCAGTTGAGATTTGAATGGGGACACAGCCAAACCATATCATTTTGCCTTTGCCACCTCCAAATCTCATGTCCTCACATTTCAAAATCAATCATGCCTTCCCAACTGTCCCCCAGTCTTACTCATTTCAGAATTAACCTAAAAGTCCATAGTCCAAAGTCTCATCTGAGACAAGGCAAGTCCCTTCCGCCTATGAGCCTGTAAAATCAAAAACAAGGCCAGGCGTGGTGGTTCACACCTGTAAACCCAGACCTTTGGGAGGTGGAGTTCAAGATCATGGGGTCAAGAGTGCGAGACCAGGCTGGCCAACATGTTAAAACCCTGTCTCTACTAAAAACTCAAAAAAAATTAGCCGGGTGTGATGGCAGACACCTGTAATCCCAGCTACTTGGGAAGCTGAGGCAAGGAGAATGGCCTGAACCAGGGAAGTGGAAGTTGCAGTGAGCTGAGTTCACTCCACTGCACTCCAGCCCAGGCAACGGTAGGAGACTTCACCTCAGGAAAAAACAAAAACAAAAACAAAAACAAAAACTAGAAACAAGCAAGTTACTTCCTAGTTACAATGGGGTACAGGTATTAGGTAAATACAACCATTCCAAAAGGGAGAAACTGGCCAAAACAAAGGGGTTGCAGGGCCCATGCAAGTCTGAAATCCAGCAAGACAGTCAAATTTTAAAGCTCCAAAGTGATCTCCTTTGACTTCATGTCTCATATCCAGGTCACATTGATGCAAGAGGTGGGTTCTCATGGTCTTGGACAGCTCTGTCCCTGTGACTTTGCATGGTACAGTCACACTCCCAGCTGCTTTCCCAACAGTCCTCCAAAGTTTTAACTCAATCCAGATAATTCTGGATTGAGAATTAAAAATTGAAAAGTCCACAGTCCAAAGTCTCACCAGAGACAAGGAAAGTCCCTTCTGCCCATGAACCTGTTACCTAGTCCCAAAGTTGCTTCTACATTTTCAGGTATCTTTTCAGCAATGCCCCAGTCTACTGGTACCAATTTACTGTATTAGTCTGTTTTTATGATGTTGATACAGACATACCTGAGACTAGGAAGAAAAGGAGGTTTAATTTGACTTACAGTTCCACATGGCTGGGGAGGTCTCACAATCATGGCAAAGGGCAAAAGGTACTTTTTACATGGTGGCAGCAAGACAGCATGAGGAAGAAGCAAAAGTGGAAATCCCTGATAAGCCCATCAGACCTCATGAGACTTATTCACTATCATGAGAAGAGCATGGGAATGACCAGCCCCCATTATTCAGTTACCTCCCTCTGGGTCCCTCCCATAACACGTGGGAATTCTGGGAGATACAATTCAGTTGATATTTGAATGGGGACACAGCCAAACCCGATCACTTACAGGGATTTGCATTTTACAGGGAGCAAAATGTTTAAGCCACAGCTTCTAAGGGTAAAACTTCTGCTAATGAGTATCTCTGTTTAGGAAAAAGATGAGGGTCATTTGGCAGTCTCCCCTCCTGGAGGGCATAGTGAGTCCTGGGCAGAAGTGAGAAGGTGTGTTTTGGCACGTCCCTGAGGGAAGTCTGAGAAACGAACAAGGAAACTGTAGAGCCTGTGGCTCTTCAAGCAGCAGTCCTCTTTCTTTCAGCATATGCTGAACCCAGCCAAGTGCTTGTCGCCCAGGTAGGGGTGGATGATTGATACTGTTACCCCAGGGATAATTCTAAAAGCATGATAGGGAAAATTATAATGGCCTCACACATGATCTGGAATGTCAGGATTCCTAGGGGACAGAAACATTCCATGTTTGTCTAGACCTCAAGTTCTCTCTATGCTTGTATATAAAAACCAAAACCTTAACATTCCAATCAAAAGCACATAGTGCTCACAATGAAAAGTATTTGGACAGAAACAATATTGCCTGTAATCAGAAATATATTACATACCATTCAACCAATCTATATATGAGTTGTTTACTAATTCTTAGGCACTGTTTTAGATCCTGAGGACATAGAGAGGAACAGAACAGACATGTTCATAGACTGATGAGGGCTATCCTGCTCTGAAAGTCCATGTAGTATGTAGAACAAGGAACCATTTAATAAATCTGTTGCATAAGAAAACAGATTAATCTACACTCTACTGTTTAAAGCCATCTCAACTAATTCTTGCCTTAATGTGACTGTTCATTTAATAAACTTAAAAGCCCCTATAGGAACCAGACACAGGGCTTGGCATGAAGGATACAGGATGAATAACATGATGTTCCTGTTCTTAAGGAGTTCACAGTCTGGTGCAAATGATTAACAGATATATTAGAAATTACAACACAATATGATCATTTCTTCAAATAGTTTGCTGAAAGAAGCATAATTTAGAGAATTTCTAAACACACCTGAGTGTTTCATGGAAGGCTATGCAGAGCAGAAAGCATCTGATATAGGTCTTGTATTTAGAGGAGGAGTTAGCCAGCTGGAGAAGTGGAGGACCAATTATTCTGGGCAGAGAACATGTGTGCCAAGTCACAGAGGTGTAAATGTATGGGTAGAGTAGGGGCAGGGTTGATGCAAGTGTCTGAAAGTGTACGTGCATAAAATGGAAACAGCTCAACAAAGCAGTGCCTTCCATTACCATGTGAAATGCACTGATGTTTTCCACCTTGTTCTATTCAATTCTGTTCCATTCAATTGTGCATATTCAGTGGTCATGTCCTGCTAAATTGTTAGAATGAAAGGCTAGGAAAAAAATTATATGACTGTAGTTGAGGTGAGAGACACTGACAGCTAGAACAACTTCCCCTGCAAAAAACACACAAAAGCTTCAATAAGGATGAAGAAGACAACAGTCATCAATCTTTACTGTAATTAATTGTTTCCCTGTCTGTTTTCCCATTAAAATCTGGGGAAGAGACCTTGGTTTTATTTTAAGTTCACTGTCTCCTAGCACTATGCCTGGACATGGTAAGTGTTCAACGGGTATTTCATGAATGAACAAATGAATACATGAATGACAGGCTTGATTTTATGTATAAGATAAAATCAAGACTATAACCAAGGAACTGGATAAAGGACATAAGCCAAATGTATTATTAAAATAAATCTATGAGACTTATAAGGATTTTGGAGTACCATTAGAAAAAAACAGTACAGGTAACTATGGCAAGAAATTAACATACCTTTTTCAAATTTTCAGTAAACAAAAGAACTACGCAGAAATTTATTCAAATAATTTTTTTCTATTGTCATGTATAAAGAAATTAATAAAATTATAAATTCTATCATAATGAAAAGTTCTATAATTCTATCCAAATGCCTAACTGTAAAAAGGCTTTTCATTATTATATCCTGAAACTCCAAAGTCCCTGACCTTTGCTTTAAAAACAGAAAAGGAGTGTCTTCGGTTCTAGGGAATATTCCATTTGAATTCGGTTTTGGCTGTAGGCAATGAATAAGAGATTACCTAGTCCTCCTGCATGGGCATCAATGAGTGAGGCTGCGACCGCAATCCCGGGGAGAAGGCCAAGGTCTCTTGCTGCCTCTGGTGTGAGCCCATTTCCAAGAGAAGCTCCAGGAGGTAGCACTTGGTTTCCTGGGTAGACATAAGAAAAAACAAACACCATCAGTTTGAAAAACACAAAAGCACTCATAGGCTTTTGGTAGGAGAAACTCTTTGCTCCCTTCTCCCTCCTCTGCATTTTCTCACTTTTGCAAAGATAAAAACCATGCAGTCATCAAGAGTCCCTCTGCTCATCCAGTGACTTTGGTGTATGTGCTTGGTACCTATGGGTCATGCTCTGGGTGCTTGACAAATAGGGAGCTCTAAAGCATCATTCAAACCAAAGATTCCAAAAGTAGGAAATTTCAAAAGGAATATAAACACAGCAGCCTCTTAAATATAAGATTCAAATGCTCAAACCTTTCCAAATGGGCTTCCTAACACAGCAGATCCGCTAGCCTACTTAAACACACATGAACACACATGCTCACATATCCTTACACCCTCTCTAATGAATGTATATTCCTAAGTCGAGAAAACTTATAATTGTAGTTGCTTCCTGGCAGAAAATAAGGGGAAAGTGGTGAGGTGTATTTTGTACCAACAAATAATTTGTAAAAAAAAATTTTTCTCAGCTGGAAAAGGCAGTCCAGTCTAAACCTTTGCAAATGTTCCAAGGCTGCCACTTGCACAACCATATAATATAATGTGAATTATGTTCTTTGGAGTTGTGTAATGCTGTGACCCTGAATTTTCAAGTGACCTTGAATTCTTGTAATCAGTCAGGTCTTCAGTTAAGAATTTATTGATTGTCTTGCTTTGTGTGGGTGCTGTGGGGCTGTAAAAAGTAGTCCTTGCCTCCAACCTAGTTAGGAAGGCAAGATAAGGACACAGAGACAGAGAACCACGTAAGACAGAATAAAATGAAATGATCCATCTGCTCCTAGGTGTTAAACAGAGCCTGAGCACTCTCTCATCCCCCAAGGAATTCTATAGTATTTCTGCACTGCAGGGAGGTGCTAAGAGTTGACCCATAGGGATAATAAGATCCCTTTGAGCCCCAAGATTCTAGGACTCTGAGTGCATGATCAGCAATTTTTGCATGCTAAGATACCACTTGTTAATTGTTTCATGGAGCTCAACAGCAGGGCAGAGGTGCTCCAGGACCTCTTGGGGTAGAGGTGAGGGTGGAGGGTGGAAGAGGAGTCACAGGGTGAACAGCTCAACCACCCTCCTCTAAATGGAACCAAAAAACCTCTCGACACCATTTTTTTAGCCATTTTAAGTAAAGAGCTTCTATGTATAATTGAATATGAAAACAAGTTTAGCTAGGAAGGGGAAGACTGAAACCTCTGCAGTGAGGTTTTCTAGAACTTTGTTGTCCAATATGGCAGCCACTAGTCACATGTGGACTGAGCACCTGAAGTATGGCTACAATAACTCAGGGACTAAATCCTTCATTTTATTTAGCTTTAACTTCCATTTAAAAACTGAAAATTCAGTTACTGAAAATTTTTTAAGTATGTTTGGAACAACTTGGGTATGAAAATCTACTTTTTCTATATTAATTTAAGAAATCTAAATCAGATACTTCCAACAAAAATCTAGTGTCTGAACTGAGAGGTGGTAAGTGGAAATTACACACCAGATGTCAAAGATCTTATCTGGAAAAACGAATGTAAAATATCTCAATAATTTGTATATTAATTGTATATTAAAATGATAGTTTGAATATATTAATTAAGAGATATTAAAAATTAATGTCACTTTTTTACTTTAGCATGACTATTGAAAAATTTAAAATTATATATGTGGCTCATATTATATTTCTATTGGACAATGATGGTCTGGAGGATAAGGCTAAGATGCCCAAAGGATGGGGCAGAGAGCAGGAAAATCTTAGTCTGTTTTGAATGCCAAAGTAGCAGAAAACTGGAAAAGAGGAGTGCCCTTGGTTTTGAATAATACAGTGCTGGACAGTATCTTAATTATGTCACTATGTCTAGTATCTAACACAGGAGAGACAGCACTCCAATTTGCTGAGCACTTCCATGCTAGGGACTGCACTAAGAACACAGTATGTATTTTCTCATTTCATTTTCATATTAACCCTCTGTGAAGAGTACAGTAGTACTCCTACTACCCCCATTTCATAGACAGATGGGAAAATTGTGGTTTATAGGGGAAAAGTAAACTCCCCGTAACAGCTTAAGAGCTGAAGATGAGCCATGGGTTCTACTCTGACACCCAAAATTCTCTTATTCATTACATTACCTTTTGGAGTAAATGTTGTTTAAAAATACATTCCAAATGAATGAACGGATCAAAAGAAGTATTTTTAGAACAAGCATTATGTATGTTTTTTTTTTTAAAAAAAAAAAAAAAAAGGAGCACCAGTTTGAAATCTTGCCTACTAAATTGAAACTTTTTTAAAAAGTTTTCATAGGGCTTCATCCCCAATCTCCACAAACCTAAAAGGTGTCATTTTTATAAAAAAGGTTCCAGACAGGATTAGCAGGGTGGGGCGCTCTTCCAAGTTTTCTCTATAGTAATTTAGGAAGAAACCTCAGCTGGTAAAGGAGCTTAATTTGATTCCATGTCCTCTAGGCTTGGAACATGAGGCTGCAGACCACTGTGAGGCAGAGAGAGCCCTGGGCATGCAGGAAGGAGAGCTGGGGTCTAATCATAGCTTGTGGAGCGACAGGGAGCTTCATCAGTAGAGGATGCATCTTGAGCAAGGACAAGAAAAAAGGGAGAAAGGGCCCCTATGTGAACTATCAAAAGGGCTGGGTAAATTGGAACATAAGCTGGGGTGTGAATTGGTAGGGGTTGGGTGTTGAAGGACACAGGAGGCTGAGGAGGCTGATAGGGGCAGTGGGTTCAGGGCCCTGTAATCCATATTAAAGTGCTTGAACTTAATCATGAAGCCCACTATAAACCACTGAAGGAGGTTTAAGCCGGGAGGAAGGGGATTAGACCTTTTTTTTTTTTTTTTAAGCACTCTCTGGCAATATTATAGTAGAGGATAGACTGGAGTTAGGGAAAACAGCTGTGAAGATATTTCAGTAATCAAAGAAAGAGAGAGAAAACAAGGATCTTCACTGAGGTACTGGTAATGGAGATGTAGAAACAGAGGCAGACAGGAGACATTCCACAGAGCAAGAAATAACAGGTCACAGTGGTTGCTCGGATATAGGAAGAGACACTGAGATATCATGGCCCAGACTCCCCCTTAAGGATGGAGTAAAGTTAGCAGACAGCTGCCAGCTCCTCTACTGCCTGCTTTGGTTGCAGAGAGCCGCCTTCCTGAGGTGATGCCCCTTCCAGGACAGCCAGCACCTGGTGACTTAGCAAAGCAGGGGCAGAAGGGCTCTGATGAACACCACTCACTCCAGACACTGCTGGGTTCACCAAGGTGCCACAGGAATGCACCTCAGTTCAGCTCTTTTCTCTCTACCTGGTCCTTCTCTCTCTTCCTTCCTTTCACAGCTGACCATCCCTAATACACACCTATACCCTCAAATTTGTCTCAGCCTTTGCTTCTGGAAAACCCAACCTACAGCAATGAACCAGCCTTCTCCTCAATCCAGTGGTCTAGGGATGAAAATAAATACATGCAAAGACAAACATCCCATCTTTCATTTGGAACTACAGCCTTCAGGAATAGGCTATTTGGACTCCAAACAGGAGGGAGCTTTGTTTATCTAGAGACCAAAAGAGACGAAAGAAGATGATAGAAATAGGTGAGAATCCCTGAGAAATAACTCCTTCAAAATCACATTCGAAGTTTATCAGCCAGAGGTACACCGAGGGCACTAGAGCTGTGTCAGAGCAAACGTTAGTGCCTCCTGACAACTTTTCCCAAAATAATCCTTGTTTGACTTTTCTTTCACCATAAAATTAAATTATTCACAGCATGACTTTTCCCAGAGTTAATCAAGACTTCACTGCCCAAGTATTTGCACTTCCTTCTAGGCTTCATTCAACCATTCATTCATGCATTTTAACAAACATTTCAGTAACAATAGTACTAATGATGGCCTGCACCGATTTCCATCTACCATGTGCCAAGCTCTAGGTGCTGAGGTCTCATATTGTGGGTTGGGACAAAGATGATGAAAACATAAGACTCTTTAGGACCATGTAGAAAAATGCTAGAAAGGTGAAATGTGTACATGGTGTTCCCAGAGAACTGAGGAGGGTCCAGTTAGGGTGGCCAGTAGAGTGAATACAGTCTTCAAGGTGAAGATGACATTTCAAGCCTGTTGTGAAAAGGCAAGTGAGGGACTGCTGGTTTCAGCTCTGGGGAAAAGGATGACAGCAAAGCAAAAAGTGAGATCACTGTAGGGAGCCCTGAGGAGCATGGTGTGTTTAAGGCAATCAGTATGTAGCAAACAGGACACCAGGGAGGAACAGAGATTTGGAGCAGATGGGACAAGAGAGGCAGCAGAGGGCTTCAGGCATGGCCAGGCAATAAGGAATTGCCCACGGGGGCACGGCTGTGAGCGCTCATATTGGGTTAAGATAAACACACAGTGTAAAGAAAGGCTTGGAAAATAATTATCTTTAAAACAGTCAAGCCAAGTGAAAAATTCAGGCTGCAAAATATTACGTAGTATATGACTTCCTTTTGTTACATTAAGTTTAACTTAAAGCTGTCTCTTTGTAATTTCAGCCTAAAGGTTTCTTCATACATAGTGACTGTAACCTAACTGGATTTGTAAACACACCGTAACCTACTCTTGTAACTAGAAGCCAAGTCTCAGCCAATCACAGAAGACATACTTCAACCACCCACAGGCAGCCAACTGTTCAAAGTCTGTTCAAATAAGGCCAACACAGAGCTGTACTCAATCCAGCTGCTTCTGTACTTCACTTCCATTTTCTGTGCCTCACTTTCTTTTTTCTGTCCATAATTTCTCTTCAACCATGTGGCACAGCAAAAGTCACTCTGAACCTATTCTGGTTGGGGATCTGCCCAATTCATGAATCATTCTTTGCTCAGTTAAACTATGTTAAATTTAATTTGCCTAAAGGTTTTATCTTAACAGTTTCAAGAACAACAACAATGAAAGTAGATGAACTATTTGTAA